ATGGAGACAACTAATATTTGAAAGTAAACAAATGATAAATTATTTATAAGAGAGAGAAAAAAATAATAAGAAATTCAATTTGAAATTAACTTTGTTTTTTTTTCTTCGTTATTTTTTTTTCCTCAAAGTTCTGATCATTATCATGATGGTGATGATGTAAAGGAAATAAAGTTGAAATTGCAAATAAATGGGTTAGACATTGTACTTTTGTTGGTTAACTTGGATTTGATTAATGATGCAATTGGAAACTTAGTTGAATCAAGTTCAATGTACTTTTGATGGTTACAGTTTATCTTAAATCACTTTGATGGTTATCATGATAATAATGTTGATGATAAAATGATAATGGAAACATAATCATCAAAAATATTCAACAATCATTTTTACATTCAACATGATAATGTTTACACTTCTCAGTGAAAATCACATTTCCATTCAGATTTACCATTTCATCTTAACCTTTATAATTTATATTCAATTGTACATTCAAGATATATTAGTGAATATCTATTAATAATTATTTTCATCATAATAATCAGAACTTTATTGTTTACATCATCATATTAATCGTCGTCATCATGATTGAGACAATTAACGATGAACCATTTATGATATTAATTGAATTATTACATAGTTTCAGCAGTGTTGTTGTTGTATTTTAATTAATACAATCATTAAAATCTGAATGCTGATATTCATCTAGAGCTGAATGTTGAATGAACTTTTTCTTCTTCTTCTTGTTTTCCTTTTTCATTATTTTCTTTCTCTTCAAGATTTTGATTTATCTTTTTCCAAATTGATTAATGTGATCATTATATTGAACAATTAACATTAAACACTTTTTTCTGCCTAGAAAATATTACTCATTAATCTTATTTTGTTCCCTTTTAACCAAGCCCTACTCTCACACCAACACACAAACTCCTTACCATGTGAGTTCCCTGTGAATAAATATTATCGATTCTTTATGAATAACAACCTAAGCATTATAATAACAAGAAACTGAACAAGATATAATCATAATCATGTTATAATTGTGAAGGAATAACTTAAACAATTAAAATGTATGTATTAATAATAATAACAACTTGTTTTAATTGTGCTTGAAGGATATTGTCAAATTTGCCATGGGAAAATTTAATCAATGAACTGTTATATTCATGGTGATATTATATCTATATGTATCTGTCTGAACTTTCCAATTGAATTGAATATTGTTATTAGAGCGAGAGAGAGAGAGAGAGAGAGAGAGAGAGAGAGAGAGAGAGAGAGAACTATGAAAATCAGTCATCATGAATTGTGAATATTTCAGCGTGTATAAGATATTGCATGGAAAAGGTTTCATGGTGTATGAAACAATATGTTTCATGAGAGATTATGTAAACTATTTGGGTGGAGAGAAATTTTTTATTATTATTATTATTCTGAATAACAATCGATAATAAACTTTTTCTCTTCCTAAAAGTTCAATGATAGTGAGTTTTCTGTTCATCTCTAATAGGTTAATAATATAATATAACTATTTGAATAATCAAGTAATTGTTATGAAATAAGCTTCATTTTTATGGGAGCATGTTCATCAGGTAAACACTTTATCATTATGAAATTTTTTCATCTCAATTTCCAGAGTTTTACCAAAGTTTACATTGAGATTTTTACTCAATTCACTTTTTTTTCAATGAAAATCTTATTACATATATAATATCACCTCTATCATGGTGCATTAATTGTTGGCAATTCTCAATTGTTATCAACTCCAGACAATCAACTATGCAAACAACTATGAACAATTAAATATCCAATTGTAAGGTTACATTTATATGTGAATAGATATTAATTTGTTACTAAATTAGCTTTTTAATTGATGTTGACTCTCATCTAATTGTGTGGAGTAATTTAGTTACTCATGATAATTACCATGGTTACAATTGAGCTCACTTTTATTAATTAATTTCATTGGTCACTTGGTATCTTTGTATCCAGTTATTTGGTCAGTTATTCAGTCAAATATGATTGGATTATAAAATTTATTTAAAACATTCAAGTTCACGTCAATTTAGTTTATCCTTAATTGTAATCTAATAATCAGCACAATTGGTGTTCACGAGCAATTAATGAATAAAATATCATGTATCATTAACACTTTAGTTACATAAGAGCATATCAATTACCCTGAAGAAAAGTTCATTCCTCATTAGAGTAATTTAAAGTATTCTCACTTGAGTTTCGGTTTATTAACCAAAATTTACAAAGTGAATTTGCTTTAGTTTTGATTCGAAAAGTTAATTTTTGGTTGCAAGTTCACGAAAATGATAATATCCTTTTTAATATTTTCGAGGTTCGAAAAAGGTGAAACTTACCATCCACTCGAAGAGTTGAGACAAATTTGTGTGGAAATAGAATCCAAAAAGTGATCGAATTGATGAAAAACTTTATATACAATTTATCCATTGAAAACTTAAACAGTTACAACCTATTGTTTTCCAATGGTATTTATCGAGTATCGAATACTTTTAGAACTTTTTTCTTCCAAAACAGAACAAAAACTTTTTTCTTTTCTTTCAATTTGATGAACTTAACTAGTATTTTCTCAGTGTGATATTAATATCTAACGGTTTTGTTGTTACTGATGATGTTATGGGTGTTATATCGATAATTATTAGAACAAAATTTCCTTGGCACAAGATTATCGATCACCATTTTCCTTTTCATAGACAAAAAAGGAGAAAGTTTTATTCCTTCTGTTATTTTTGTTCTCTCCCTCTTTTCAATTCATTTTATATCTAAATCCAATTAGCAACGTGAATACACTGAGAAAAAGGTGAGATTATGAATTCAATAAACTGATGCTGATAATTGATGGAATGATTCACTTTAAGTGTGTAAATAGATTCACTACTCAGATGAACTTGGTAAAAATATTGAATTGGGTTTTGAAACCGATTTCATTTGAGGGAAATATTGTCAACTGCAATGTACTGGGATATCACCAAATGGTCACTTAGTGTATTCATTGATTGAAGTCATGGCAGCAAAAAAAAGTAATTGAAGTTTTAAGGGAAGGAAAGAAAATATTCAAAAAGACTAATCAAAATATTGACACAGAGTAAAACTTGAACTTTGCATGAACTTGGTTTTCAGTTTTGAGATCAGAGGAAGAGAGAGAAAGACATGAAACTAATACATGTGCTTTTGGGGGTGGGATTGGTCGTGTCTTGCTGTGGCTCTCACTTGAAAGGCTCAGAAAGACAGACGGAGTGATACTGATACAAAGAGACATAAATATCAAAGAGGAAAATGGCAGGCAAAGTGGAGAGAGTGAGAGAAGAAAAAAGGGAGATATGGAGTGAAAGAGAGACAGAGAGCAGGAAAAAGAAGATAAATATTTAGCTTAGTGGGCTCATAGAACTGGGAGGTTGCGCTATCGACTTTTGGAGTTTATTTTGATTATTGTGTTGAATTCAACTGCGCATCTGATTGAATCTACGGTGAAGATTATCAAAAAGATGTGGGTGAGGATGAAAATGATAACCACAGAGAGAGAGAGAGAGAGAGAGAGAGAGAGAGAGAGAGAGAGAGAGAGAGAGAGTTTTGAATGCAAGAAACGGAAATAGAATGAAAACATCAAATGTGTAAATATTAATGATAATCATAAATTCATCTGATAAACATACACAGTAAAAAATAACTGTAAATTATATCAATCAAAGCAGTTTAGCAAATATTGAACAAACAGCTAATGAAAATGATTTAACATCATAATTAACTCAAGTTATGTAATAATTAACTGTCCTATTTGATCATACAGCCTCAATTCTCGATTTTTGATGCGAATATGCCAGAAAAACCTGAAGCGATACGACAATAAAAAAGTGCTGTAAATTGTTAATCAACAATGCAGATGATTAACTGAAATTCAAATTGCAAGAGAAAGAGAAAGGAATAGAGGGAGAGGCTAGAGAAAATGAAGAATCAAAGAGTGACCGTGGGGCTATTAACGATACGGATGTGCGATACTCAATCGAGCGTCCAACGGAGACGCTTCCAGGAGAGCTGAGTCAGCGAATGTTGGATCTTTACGCCACAACCATGAAACTAAGGAATTGTGTTTAGCTATCATGTTGATCGCCCAGAACCCTTGTTACTTTTATCTTCATCGTAACACAATCATATGAAACAAAATTCTGGTTGAGTAAAATATCAGTTGAATCACATGATATATCTTTTCAAAATAAAAAGTGAATGAGTTTCATGGTAATGAAAAATGATTGAAATGAAACAATCTGATGACATGGATTGATTCAGATGTAGTTAATCAATGTCAACCTTGATTATCATTTGATTTTCACCAAAAAAAAATGTAATCTACGATTAATCATTATAATTGAATGGAAATAAATTTAAAGGAAGAGGAAAAAATTATCATCATTATTATCCTTGTATAATTTAATTTAATTGTCAAGAAATAATTTCTCAAATCAAATTAAAATAACAACAAGAAAATAACAAAATATTATTATATAAGAGAGTCAATTTTTCCCATAACAATCAACATAACAACAAATGTACAATATTATCAATTGTTACTTGTTATATTATTATTATAACAACAGAATGATGATAAAAAAAACGTAATTTAAATGTTTAATTGTAATTGAAAATTTATAATGATAATCACATCAGAAAAATCATATGTTTTACTTTGAGTATAATTAAATTAACAACAATCAAAATTAATTAAGTTATTCAACTTTTTTGTTTTGTCGAAAAACTTTTCTCACAATTTATATTATTTCAATGGGTCAGAGAAAGTTGTGTGATCGAGTTTGATTTTTTTCCTTTCATCTCATGAAATTCAACATATTCATGACGACGATGATGACGATTGTTATTATTAGTTCATTTCTGTGATAACAATTAACAGATTCTTTTTTTTTCTCTTTGAAAATCAAAAAGTGTATTGATATGAAATGTCAAAAGTAAATCATTTCAATTCTTACCTGGTGAAACTTTTACTATGATGAGTATGATAATATAAGGTTCAATTGTTATCAGGTTATTTATATTCATATTGTTAATGATAATCAGCCTGGCAGAAATTTGGGTCAGACAGTAATAGATTATATGTTGACCAACTCCTATTGTCCAGTATTATTGTTTAGTTTTATTTTTTTTTCTCTACTTCTTCGTATGAATATTAACCAGTTTACTTTTATTGTCCAGTCAATCCTTTGGATCTGAAATTGATGAGATTATCAAAGATTAATAATGAGATTTTTTTCTTCTCAAAAAAAGTTACAATTATTAATATCTTTCAAATTATAATCATTAATATTGATTATTATCATTTGATGAGTCACTTAATCTGATGAAAAATATCTTGACTTGATAATAATTAGGTTTCAATTTGGAGAGGATAATAAAGAGAGATAGAGAGAGAAAATTAATTATCAAAGTTAATTATCAGCAACCCAAGAATTGATAGAGAGAGAGAGAGAGAGAGAGAGAGAGAGAGCAAAAAATATTCCAATTTCCCAATGAATATCATCTCATGAAATTTTCAGAGTTTATCTCATCTCGGAGGGGTTGATATCATTTCTTGATTGTTATCAGATAAAATTTTTCATCTTTTCCAACAGTGAACAATGATAATAATTATCATCATAAAAGTTAATTGTATAAGTTAATGATTCTAATGATTTAATAGTATAATAATATGTTCATCATGACACTAATCAAAAATATTATAATCATATGAGTTCTGAACTTTTTTTCTTGCCCATTTCCACCAACACCAAGAGTTGAAGTTGAATATTATCAAAAATCATCATCATTATCATGGAGATAATTACATAGCATGAACTGTAAGCATACGTACATGTATGTGTATTTATTAAATATATCTCTTGTATTTCAACTGAATTTCATATTGTTGTGTTTTTATTAATCTCAATCATGTACCAGGGAAGAAGATGAGAAAAAAATGTTTCAACTAATAAGTTTTCACTGTTTCCATGATGATATGTAAAGATTATCAGATAGACTGAAACATATTATAATAATGAGAATAAGGAAAACAAGAATTGAAATTATCATGATGATGATGATGGTGTTGGTGGTGATAAGGATAATGATAGTGATTAGAGAGAACGAGAGAGAGAGAGAGAGAGAGAGAGAGAGATTCAGTGATACAGGAAAAAAGGGATGGTGGTTTTCCAGGATGAGACTAGTGAATAATTAATGAAACATTTTCGTTTGGAAGCTCATCATTATCACCATCATTTTCGTCTGAAAAGTTATGTATCATTTGTAATCTGATAAATAAGAGATAAACAAACAATGTCCAGCGATTGAAAGTTCAAGAATTCAAATTTGACTTATTCTTGTAAAGAATATAAATCGATTCTGATTTTCATATTTAAACCAAGGCTAAAATGGTTAACTAAATTCCAGTGTAAATGTTTACCATTACATGTGATTAGCAATAATAACATTGTATGCACTTGGTGTTGATGTTTTTTTTGCCTCATTCTCACTGATTAACATCATTACACTTGAATCATTTTCCTCAATCTATTTAACCAAAAATTACTCCTCAAGACATATTATTAATATTAACACTTTTCTCATTCATTCTGACCTTTTTGTTTAAGCAATTTCCCACTTTTCACCTTTAACCACCACCAGCATCAGCATTACCCACCCTTGCAGTTTTCATCATATCCTTACAGCATTATTCTGAATAAGAATCAACCTTAACTGTTATTAGTTAATTTACTTTTTTTTCTCTCTCTTGCCTCAATACTTGCTTACTCTCCTAATTCCCTGTTACCTTTACTGTTTTTATCCCTGATTATCATCAGCATCAGTATCGTTATTAGATTAACCTTCATGATGACAATATTTTTTTTCTCCTCTTTCTTATTCTGTTCGGTAGTTACAATGATTCCATGTAAGATAATAAACTCGATAAAAACCTAGAATAAAGTTCAACTTTTACATGGCAAAATGAGTAACGAAATTTGTGTGTTTCTGTTCCTTCCTGAATATGGTTCGTTAAATAACCAGAATCCTTTTTTTTCCTGAGCCTGAATTTTATTTTTTTTTCCTCCTTCATGTTCAATTTTATTATGTATAACGATATCAGCTCAATAATCTCAATCTTTTCCCATGTAGCTTGTAGTTTCATGGTAAGATAACAGGGAAAAACGTTGAGTTATCACCAAACTTTTCCCCTTTTCCTACCGGTAGGAAATAAAATAACAATAATTTACAATCTAACAATTAAGATAAGCTTAGCTTTCATGAGCACATGAATTGTTATCATTACATGATAATGATAGATGATCAGTTAATTGATTAGAATGGAAGATTATTTACTGAGATAAAATTGAATTCTTACAATCAGATTGATGTTTACTTTAGTCTGATTTTAATTGCTGTTTACATGATTACAAATCTAAGGTGAAATGAGAAACATTCACAACTGAAATCAACAATGATTTGCAAGTGGAAAGTAATAGTTAATCATATATTTGTTATCATATACTCAAGAATGTAGTATATACATACATTGAAATAAGAGGCCAATAAGAATGCTATAAATAGAGAATTGAATTTATCTTTCTTGGTGTAAATGATTATGAGAGTTCATGGGAATATATAAATGAAACTCAGAGCTTTTCTTTATCGCCTCAATTCAAGTTCAATCAGGAAAAAAGTAAGAAATATCTAAAGAGGTATATACAAGGATTAAAGGTAACTAATCTACTGAGGTTCGAGAGTTCTGTTTACGTACTTATCATGAACACGATTCTTAATTTGATGTTAACATGATAATAACATGGAAGTTAACATTACCATACAAAAAGTTTAGCTTGGAAATGATAAAGATAAATGTTAATACTTGATAATGAGAAGATGATGGATTAACAGATAAGATGGACAAGTTACAAGAACCCTTTTGATAATCTATAAAATTGTTGCAACGTTCTGATGAGAATCGTACAGTTCAAATGGCAGAAAAAAAGTTTATTCAAAAGTTTCGAATACAAGATAAACTTTAAAGATTATCCACTTAAGATGTAAATTAAGTAATTCGTTGAGAAAGTTTTTGCTCAATATTGGAAGTCAGTAAAAATGAAATCTTCTTCTTCTTCGTCTTCTTTTCTTTCATTTTCCGAGAACATTTCAAGTTTCTATTAAATGGGAAGAAAATAAAGTTCTAAAAGAGTTAGTACAAGTTAAAGAGGAGAAACTCGATCAACACTTTAAAAAAATGGCATAAAAAGCAATCACTTTTTAAGAAGCATTAATCTCAAGAGAGACATAATCATGATCACCATGCTCATCATGATTCACATTCCAAGTTACTCTCTGTAGAAACAACTCATTCTGAACATCTTCCTCATCTTCTCAATCATTTCTAAGACAAAGAGGTGAAAAACATTATCAGCTGAATGAAAAAGAAGAACAAAAAGAAAAGATAAACACTAAGGATTCTTTCATAATATTATCCACCATCAACCAACTTCCATCTTCATCATTATCCCTTTTCCATTGACAATTGGAGCGAATTTTCCTTTATCATCTTTCACAGAATTTAAATCTTCCACTTTTTCAGTTATATTCATCATGCAATTCATCTTAAAATATTAGTTAATTTTACCTGAGAACATTTTTATTATATCATCACTCTCAGTCACCAGCTTTATTAACATCATCATCATCATCATCTCCTAATAGATTGAGATTCATATTATTGACTGGTAATCCTATTTTCTTTCAAGTGATAATTTCATCTTCCTCGTTAACAATTTAATTCTCAGCATCATCATCATAAAATTTAGATGATTATAAGCCATATGATAATAACATTGAAACCCATTAAATCTTCATCCATGGTATTCACATGGTTCTCTATAGATTGTGATTAAAAACTTCATACGCTCTCCAAAAGTAATATAAATCATTATCAGAATTATAATCAATCCTTTATTAGTATAATAATAATATCAGTAAATGGATTGTGAAGGTAAATCTGACGAAAGGATTAAATTCTATCTCTTCAATGATAATCTCTTTTTATTTTCTATTCTAAATTTCATACTAATAAAAAAACTTGTTAAATTGTTGTAAGAACTTTTTTTCTCTCTAAATTTAGATATTATTATATTAATATTTAGCTCAAATTTCCAAATATCACTCAACTTTACGATTAGTTTACATTGTCAGAGAATTTGTTTTCAAAAGATAATATTAAAGTTTTACCTTTTTTATTCAGTAATTTAATTCAATTGGATGTGCAGGTAATGATGTAATCCAAAATTTGATTAATTGCTCGTATTATATGATAGTAATACCAATAAAAAAAGAGATAAGTTAGCGCAATTAAAAGTAACATTGTTATTTGATGTAATTCGAGATTAGGAATCAATTGTGGATCTCATATTAATTGGTTGTTTCATTAGTTGCATCATTAATTTAAGGATTTGTTTGCAAACTAAATCTCTCGCTTCTGGCACCAATTCTGTTTAATGACAATTAATTTCAAAAGAGGATTAAACTTGGGATTCAACTTTCGATCAATGAGTTTCAGATATTAAGCCAGAATCGCCATCTACTGTGGTGAAACCAGACTAGAAAATCCCAGGGGATTTCTAGGTATTACTCACGCCATCTAATGTTATCTCAATCAACCAGAATTTCCTAGTTGGTAATATGAATTTCTTTCTGTATATTATCTGACCCAATGTTGCTATTTAAATTGCTCTAATGATCAATTTTGAATCTTATTTCGAAATAAATTTTCGTGTGAATATTTGACATTTTGATTTTCCTTTTCAATCAATTGAATTTTATCGCTTTTGATAAGAATTTTATTCCTCGAAATTATATTTATTTTATTATACATTCTCTTGACTTGACTGACAATTATTATATTCATGAAAGTTTTGTTTCGTCTGAACTGATTGTTGTTGTTGTTTTGCTCTTATTTTTATAATTCAGTTCTGCAAACGGTTAGAACTCAATCGTCGATGAAAATTTCAACTTTCTTTCGAACTTTGTAAATAATTTATTGCTTCTTTTTCTTTTTCTTTTTCTATTTAATTTTAATTCTCTTCTTTCTTGGTTATATAAGTTTATTTTTTCAGCATTTAAACATATCGAATTGATTAAAGAAAAAGAAAGAAAAAATTTCTATTGGAATTTATCTGACATTTTCATGGTGTCAAGTTGAGACAATGATGACAGAGAAAATAGATGAGGAAGATGAAGAGAAAAATAGACATAATAACATGTAGGATAATCTGAGATGAAGATGAAAAGAAGATAAAGATTTGAAATTGAAGAAAAGAACGTAAAATAAGTTGAATAAGATGCTCAAAGTTCAACAGATTTTATTCTGAAAGTTCAGTTTATCTAACCGATTTCTCTCATCTCATGAGAGATGATGACAAACTTAGTGATAAAGTTAAACCTTTTCCACGATGGTGACAATTTATTACAATCACATTTCACTGAAGGTGACAGACAGAATGATGGAAAAGAATAAAAATAAAAATGAAAACTTAAATCTTTCTCTTTCTCTTTCCCTTGAATTTTCCCTGGTTTTCATGAGGTTCAGTTGGTGATAAAGATATGAAAGAGGAACTGAAGGATTGAGAGTGTCAACAATGAACACAAACTTGAACAGTTTTCTTGTGAAAATTTAGATAAAAGTAACAAGAAAATTTTCACCTACAATTAAATTAATTGCTGAAGAAAATGATTTTCAGGGTGATGGAGAAAACAAAAGTTCTTAGCAAATTTTCAAACTCTTTGTTCCAATGAAAATCATTCGTATATCTCTAAGACTAAAAAGCACAATGATCGTAAATTAAATGTTGGAATTTAATTCACCCAAATCAATCAGTTAATAGTCTGCTGATGGTTTAGATTCTGATTTATGGTGAGATTTAGAGGTGGAGAAATAAAGTTCCATATGATTAATGTCACATCATCTTTTTGTCCATTATTTTTTCATCCTCATCTTTTTTTTTCTCTCACCGTATTAAACTAAGTGTCGACATTTCAATCAATCAATAGTTTTTCTATCTAATGGTTCTGAGTAAAATATTTAAATTAGAAGAAAATGTGAAACTGATGATTGGTTTGGAATAAACATTAATCATGTCTCTCTCTCTCTCTCTCTCTCTCTCTTGTTTTCGTTTCTTTCATCTTCATCATGTCATAGATTTTTTCCTTCTTCATCATGATTATGATGATTGCTGAATCTTCCAATCAGACTTTTTGTTAGTCCTTCAAAATGAATCATAGTGAATGAAAATCTAGCAACCAGAGGAAAGGAATAGTCTTTGTAACCTTTAGATTGGAAAAAAAGGGAAATTCATTCATCATGATATTTACATTTATCAGATTATATGTTGTTGAATATATTGAAGATTCAGCAGAATTTATATATATATATCGATGAGAAAGGAGAAGATGAAAAGACAAACATGAAATTTGTTCAGATTCAATGAGTTTAAACAATAATAACAAAGGTTTTCTTTCCCTTTTTGTCTTACATGGTCTTAGCAATCGAAACATTAATGTTAAGTCAATCTATGGAACGTAAACTCGAAAAAAAAAGGATGATATAATCAGCTTATCCAAATGGAAGATGTAAATTTATCATCTTCCCAGTTGAAAATGAGTTAAAAGTTCTGTACTTGTAATGATCATTCAGTTATCATGGAATACAAGCTTTATGGTGAATAGATGAGACCAGGAAAAATAAAGAATATGAAAAATCAGGAAACATGAGACACAGAATTTATTAAAGTAAACATGAATTTTAACCAGAGCGAAAAGAAAGAAAGGGAAAGAAATTGCTAAAAAGAAAAATTTTCTCAGATGGAAATGAATTTTTCGAATATACTATCATGAACTTTGCCTGATATTCATTGATAAACAAAAGAATCAGTAAAGAGCAAAACAAAATTCTAAAGAAAATGTTGTTTTTGAACTTATATATTGATTTCTTCTTGCTCTCAAAATGTATTGTCTTCTCGATTAGATTATGTTGAGCTTAGAGTCTGATTACTTGAGAAGTCCAATAATAAATGTCGAGAACAGTTGATGATCAAGTAAATGGATCATGTTGATTCAACGTGGGTTTTTAGCATTTCCATGAAAATTGAATGAAAATCAAAGTTTTCTATTCATTATTAAATTCTCAGACTATTAGATGAATAGGGATTTCTGCAATTACCTTGGATTGGGAAAACATTTCAATGGCCAATTTCTGATGAATCGAATGTATCAGAATATTAGTTGGCCATTAGCATGGAAAGTAAGTCAAGTAAAGATTGGAATGGATTTTGAATACTTATTGTTATATAAATCATGAAAAGGTACAGAATTAGAATCAGATGAAAAGAAAACAAAGTCACGTATTGGCATTGAAGACAAAAGAATGAATGAAATTTTTGCTCGATAATTTTCAATGAACCTTAACGACAGGAAGAACTGGAATTGGACTCGGGAAAGAGAGAAAGATAGAGAAAAAAAAGAGATCAAATTTTTTGATTCTTTTCAACTCACTAAATTGAAGAATGATGATGATGGAGATGATGATTCTTCTCATCTGATGATTGAAAAGAGAAAGTACAAAGTGCATGGTAACATGATGGTGAAAACATTTTCATTTATGAGAATAAGTTTCATTTGAAAAGTTCTGAAAGATATTTCATCGCAATTTTACAAATGGATTCATTCATGGAATCAATTTCTCATAAACTTTTCTCACTTTTTTCCCACTCATCATCATTATCTGCATTCTCCCAATGATCAGCATCTTTTTTTCCCTTCATCATGAGCATTATCATTAAATGATAAATCTTGATGATGGTAAGATGAAATAAGCAGCAAAAAACAACACAAAAGAAATGATAGATTTCATAGTATCTTCAAAAAGGGTTGGTCAGTAATTGATTAACTCGATATTCATTTCATAGTGGTACTGAATTCACCCGATTAAATAGGCATTAGTTGACAATCAGTTGATCCAATCCAATGGTCTGGTGAATCCAGTTGCACTTTGGCTCTGAATTTCATTCAAAAACGAGACAAAATTGACACTTATAACCTTCAGGTCAACTGAGTTGACCTTAGTAGCAAATAATTAGACAAACAACACAACACAACACAATTAAAACACTTTATATTTGAACTGAAAAGCTAAACAAGAAAAGTGAAAGAAATGGATTAATTAACTATGATTAGTAAAATGAAGCTTGAAAACAATAATTGAAAAAAAGAAACACTAATTAATGATTTAATCAAAGAGTAAAAACCTCTCTACTCTTTGGATTAGATTAAAAGAAAAAGGAAAAGGAAATGATGATAAGTAAAGGATAAGATAACCTTTTCTTAGATATAGTAGATTCCCACGTGATCTTAGAAATCATAATTATCTGTAATGATAACAAAGGAAGATAATTAAATAAGAAAATGAATTTACCCAATTGATTATGTTTTAAAATCTTACATTTGATTCATCATATAAATATGATATACGAATTGAGCAGAAAACAAACGGTAATAGATAAACATGATGACCATGTAGCTGAGTTTCAGATTGATAGTGAATAGTTTATTACTCATGAACATCATTCTTGATCTAATTCAATACAATTGATTCAATTCATGGGATAAATGAAAATAGCTGTTCGATTGTGACCAGAATATTGAATAGGCATCATTCCTACCGAGGGGATAAACAATTTGACCATCTTAAATAATGATAAGTGTCCTCAATGATATTGAGAGAACTGTTCTTGTTAAGAACCTCAATGAATTCTTGATTCTCATTATGTATTTATCGTTATTATTATAAACATGATGATTACTTTTCTCTTTCTTTCTCTCTCTTTTCTAAGGCAAAGATTAGACTCTTGAGAAGAGGATAAGAAACGAAATGATAGAGACTTCGTAATCTTCATATTGTTGAGCTTCTTGGTTATTTTTATTTTCTTAAAATAAACACCCAATGATATTAATAGTAAATGTTGATGGACAAAAGTGACCAGTTGATAATCAAGCTAAGGTTAATATTGTTCTTGTGTTTTTTTTATTATTCAATAGATGACTTCTAGTTTCTAGATTGGTTAGATTATCTCAATTGGTCATTTATATTGATAAGATGATTTGGAAGCTGTTTTTCAACTACATCTTCCAGCAAATTGGACATTCTAAAAATGAACAATATTCAATTAGGATGAATTTTATTGAATGTTTCACTGCCCTCAGGATAAATCTAGTTATTAAATTGGTGTAATCAGTCCGCTAATTCAAAAATACATGAAAAAATTTCCACCATTTCTACCATAGATGAATTCTTAGCTCAACGAATCATTTATATTATTTGTTATTTGTGAGTTGACATAATTTTTGAGATATTCTGTTAGCTGAGTGATTAATGATTTTGTCCCCAATACAAGTTGATTTGGTCAAGTTTTTTTTTCTTCGTTCAAATTTGTATCATGATAATACAATTATGAATAACCTTTACTTCACCAGCCATTTCCGTTTCCCCAAAAGCCTTTAACCCTACACATCCTTTATCAAATCTTAATACATTACTTTTGACTTCCGTTTGAATAATATAACAACCAAATACTCAAATTGCATGATAAAGCTTCAAGCAATTTTCAAGCTTATAAGTAGCTTGACCAAACTCAATTCACACGAACTGTATTCACTTTACAGTTCGTGTATATATTCATGAACCTTTCGAGTTTGCATTATTATTTGTAACATTTAATATAAACGGAAATCCCACTAAGATCAAGAGTATCCATTTACCATTAATAATCAACAATTTGTTTGGAAAATTATGATAATTTCAAGTTTTTTTTTTCATTTATGTTTAAGGAAAACAATTTTTATCTGTCAACCTATTTCCTATTATAACCAATAGATGGCGCTAACTGGCTGGGAGTTTTTTTCGAATCATAAATTATGGTTAAGAGTTTGATTCTATTACATTTACTTGAAACTGGTTAATGAAGTTGAATATTGAATCTAAATTCAATTGAATTACAATATAATCAATTTTTGTATTTTTCCAATGAGATAATAAAAAAATGCATAACCAAATTGACCATTTTTCGTCTGTCCATTAAATTTATCAAATTCTAATAGTTACTCTTTTTTTTATTCTTTCTCAAGATCTTTAGAATTTCTTTTGCTTCTACTTCATCTTCTAAGCTCAGGGCAACTTTCCTACTCAAAATAAACGAAATTCCTTCAGGGTATATAATTCAATTCTATTACTGTATCATTATGGTAACCCGAAGCTCTTCAATAGAAATCATTGCAATTCAATTCATGATGATAATGACAATGATGACAGAGATTATGATAACACTTAATATGCTTAATTGTATTGAATGTTTCAAGAATAATTCAATTTATCTTTAATCTAATTGGTCTAAATTATCAGATGTTAGAATGATCATCTTTATCTCCATCAAGTTGACCAATAGTTTTCTCGTTAAATGCTAATTGTGTTCTGGAAAATTGATTTCTTTCAGTGATCAAAATAACAATTAGAGTTCAATTGAACAAATCAATTAGCATAAACTGTTAATTTGTTAATCTTAGCTTAGTGATTACTTTAATCGTGACAATGCGACTTTCAGAATGAAATACAAATCACTTTAAAGAGAAAAACCTTGACTTTAATTGTTTGTTGACTTTACTCACCTTAATTGTTATTATCTAATTACAACCTTTAAGCTTATCAATCACCTTTCACTTTAATCACAGATTAGAAAGGTAAACCTTTAAATGTAACAGCTAAAACTTGAATTTTAACTAATCATTTAAAGATAATCTAGAGGAAATTAATCAATGTAATTCACTTGATTATTTCTATGTAAAAAATAATCTTATTTAGAGATTAGTTTCATGTAAACAATCAACAATTAATCAACTACATTTGTCTAAGCATTAAATCAATATTGTATTTTGTCTTCGTAATCCAATGGTGAATATTCATATTAAAAGAGACTGATATAGAAATAGGTAAAAGTTGAATAACATTGAATTTGAAACTCGAAAAAAAAACTTTTTATCAAAATCTCTATCGATACTAAACAATCAATGATTATTAAATTGTCTATGTAAAGACAATGGGTATTAATGGATAAAATAATCATTATTATCCTCATAAGCATCATTATTAGGATGATATTGGAAGATGGATAGAAAGTGAGGGGAAGGGAAGATGGTAACATGGGTTATTTACATTCGGGAGTTAAAACATTTCGATGAGAGAGTGAAGGGAAAAATAGATGAATGTTTGGAGAGATGATGTGATGTGAGGTGGATTAGGCTTTTGTAGGGGATTCTAACTAAGGTAATCTAAACTACTAACGTAAAGAGAATCAATTGGTTAATTGTTAACTTTAGTTATTAAAAGCTACTATCACAAGAGATTCAACTGGCCCTTCACAATCCCAGTCTTACCAAATTCTTTTAGGATAACTTTAACTCACTTATCCGAGTTTACTCACTGAATTAAGATTATTAGAAATTGTAAATTCTGCTGAAACATTTATTAATGAAAATTAAAAGAAAGAACATGAAAATTAGGCCTTAGCCTTTACACAAAGAAAGTTAAATTTTCTCTTTAGAGAATGAGTTATTTACTCTTGAAGATCTCAGAGTTAACTAACTTCTTTTTGGTTAAAATATGGTTGATAATTGGAACATAATTTTAGCGCCATTAAGCTTTGTCATTAGACATTACCATAAATGGTAACTTGGCTTTTATGCCCAATCATCAAATTGGTTACATAGAAAACAAAATTAATAAAGAAAGGTTATAGCCTTATCATAGTACATAAGATAAGGGAGAAGATGAGATTAAAATTAATCATTAGATTAATATCATTAACCATAAGGTTAAATTAATGTCTCATTAGAGTAACTGAAGATAAAGAAAAACAAATTACTCAAAGGTAAATCAAAATAAAAAGTTAAAATAAAGATAAAATAAAATGAAAACGTCTTTAGACTAGACTAATTTAGATTAGTTCAATTGTCTAAAGATTTTGGAAAAAGTTCCATTAGGAATATTGAAAGAAAATCAATGAGGACGGAATTTTCCTGACACATCCTCGGATTTAAGACCATGAAACCTCTGAAGGTTTTCTTTCAAGTTGACGATTGGAACGACTTTGCAAAATCTTTGGATCCGTTATGGCTCTGATCTTTGCTTGTTCATCTTCGACGAGGTCCTTTTGATTGACCAATGGTAGTTCATAAAGTCGAAGTGGTGATTCCATTCCTGAGGCTTTAACACAGTTGTCATCAAACTTTGGGGTTGGTCGATTGTAAACAATATCTTTAGATACTCCATAATAGAACCAGTCCTCTGGCCAATGGGCTTCATTTTCTTCAACTCGTTGAGAATAGAGTTGGAATAGGGCCGATACTTTAGTATTTCCACAGGTTGACACTGCATTAGCAAAGTGAATTCCATCACCGAGTTCCTTTACTTTCTCCTCGATTTCTTGCCAGAATCCGAGATAGAGTTTCATACTCAATAGAGCTTCGATTCCTGGGGAATGAGCTCGGTTCGGGATGGTGAATCCTTGGAACACTAAGAAGGCTATTAGGCTGAGGGCACAAGGACTTTGAACGTAAGGCGAGAAATAATGAGTGATTTCTCGTAACTTGGGTTTTAAAAGTTCAATTTCACAGGCCATTAGGCCGAGTCCACGGAACATGTTGATTAGGCCTGAGCCAACAATCATTTTAGCTGTTGCCAAGTACTTGATAATTTGATCCCTGATGGATGGAAGAGTTTTAGCAAACTTTACGTCTTGACGACTAAGACCATGATAGTTGGTGTCCATCCTTTCAATATCGTTATAGCGAACGAAGGATTCATAGATCACCTCTTGGTTTCCGTCGACGATCACTATCCAAACAGGTCGACAAATCAGTTTGGTTTCATAACCATTTCGATTGTATCTCACTTCCTTTAGGCGACAATAAGCCATATGTATCCCAAATACCAAATCTAAATTGGGATGAGTTCCGGCATTAATTTTAATTTTGTTGAAAATCAGCAGCGAGACGGAAAGTCAATAGCTGATTTGTTGAAAAATGTTCCAACTTTTGTTGTTTTATTATCTCTTTTGTTTTTCCTTATAAGAGGATTTTGAAGAGATTGATGGGGTTGAGATGCATTAGCATCGGGTTCAGCGAAGGTCACGATGAAGACCACGAAGACTTGGATATGATTCAAGATTGTTTTCATTAGATTTTCTTTTCATCTTCGTTCAAACGGCTG